GAGTTAGGATTAGGGAGACCCTTGGGGATATAGACCCTCTCAATAAGGTCCATGTCAACAGAGCCAGAAGTAGGGTTAAGAAGGGTCTCCTTTAAGCGGTATCCCTACTACTACCTAGGATATAGTACGTAACCGTTACAAAACCTTTGTAAACCCCAGCAGAACCCTAATGTAGGGGCCTTAATCATTGGAATAGTTCCTTATTATTATGATTGCAGTTTAATATACCCCCAAACCCTATTCTAATTACTAACCCTAAACCGTAGCCTCAAGCCAAGCCACCAGTCCTGAGCCACCGCGTTAACATAGGGACCGAAATAATTACCTATACTATTTTGGGGGCTCCTTGTTATAATTTGGGGGTTTCCGACAATAGGGGACCCTAATATAGTCCCCAAATAGGAGGATCCTGATTATAAAGGCCCCAAAATATGGTACCCCTAATTTTCGGAAACTTCCTCCCATATCTCCAAAGCCTATTTTAATTATTAAGGCACCTTTTTTGCATAAGAGCTGTATCGGCTTGTGGGCCTCCAGGGTTGGACACTTGGGATGTTAAGGAGGCTTCCTACATCATACAAACTCCGTATAAAAAGAAAAACCTTGCAATACCCTTGAAATTGGGTTAGGGTTTAGGGTTTAGGGTTTAGGGTTTAGGGTTTAGGGTTTAGGGTTTAGGGTTTAGGGTTTAGGGTTTAGGGTTTAGGAACTTAGGGCGGCTTCCGGCCACTGCACCTCGTTCTGCTTCAGGAGCTCTTGCACGCGCTTGGAGGCTTGCTTGGCCTGGCGCCAGGAGACTCGATAGGGTGCCCCAGCTAAAGGGGCCATCAGCCCTTTCTTTGACATGGATCTGAATGAAGGGTCCCCTAAACCCTAACCTAAACCCTCAGAATCCACACCCAGACTCCGGAAAAGCCGGTGCCCAAAAAGCACTGGGGTTTCTTTACCCCAAGAACCCTGAGGCCCCTAGAGCCGGCTCTAGGGCTGGAAGAGGGTTTAGGGTTTAGGGCTTAGGGTTTAGGATTTAGGGCTGGGAGAGGGTAGTAATGCTAAGTGTTCGGAGCTCTGTATATTCACTCGTGCACCCAGAAACCCTAAACTTAAGCTATCAGAACTGTTCGTCCTTCGTGCTTTCATGCATTCCCTAGACGCTGCACACTGTTTGTGAATCCATACCAGGACCCTACGAAGCTACTGGGCTACGATAGGTGAAGGCTAACCTGGAGCCTCCACCCTACACCTTCTCTAGACCGTGTACACTAACAGACTAACACTAAACTCAAACCCTGCACCCTCACCGGTGCCTCCGCCGCGGCTGCCTTGGCCTCACAACAAACTGCATTAGCACAGGGGCTAGGGACAATACTCAAGAGGATTCGTTCTGTTTGTATGGCTTATGTTCAAACTTTGGGAATGATAAGTCAAGTGGATTATTTGTGCTTGCATGGCTTGTGTTCAAAGTTTGGGAAGACAAGTAGCAGACAAGTAGCACAGGGGCTAGGGACAATGCTCAAGAGGATCAGTTGTGTTTGCATGGCTTGTGTTCAAAGTTTGGGAAGATAAGTAGCACGGGGGCTAGGGACAATATTCAACAGGATTATTTGTGTATGCATGGCTTGTGTTCAAATTGTGGGAAGACAAGTAGCACGGGGGCTAGGGGCAATACTCAACAGGATTATTTGTGTATGCATGGCTTGTGTTCAAATTGTGGGAAGATAAGTAGCACGGGGGCTACGGACAATACTCAAGAGGATTTTATGGGAATGTCTGGGTTCTAGGCAGGATGAATTTAAAAATGCCTGCACCCATCCCCGCTCCACACCCTTCCCTAACCACCCGAGAGCGACTGCAAACAAACGAGTCGGTCAAGATAGCTCAAACATGCCTTTACCATCCCCAGAAGACACCCATCGAAGCTCAAAAGAAGGGACGAACAGCTTCTTTACACGAGGCCGCAAACTGCGGCGTGAGCTAGAACTACAAGCCCTGACAGCCCCAGATGCCCAGAAAACTCGCAAGGACTACTTACGCAGTGTGAAAAAATCAGAGAGTGACATTACTCAAGCAATCTTTAGTAAACGAAGAGGAGTATCCTTACAGAAGCAATGTTGCTCGAGGAAAGCTGCCAGTTTTGCCGTATTTCCTTCTACCTTGGATAAGGGCGTTGGCCTCTTTTGGTCTCTGGGTGCCATCCCTAAACCCTACACCCTAAACCCTAAACCCTAAACCCTTATAACACCCTTTGAAGGAATCCTCTTCTTTCAGGCTTTATGGGCTTGAAGTGTTTCTGGAGATATTGGGGCTGGGGGGTTTTCAGTATTTCGGTCCTAAGGTTTGGGGCTACGGTCGGGTATGGTTTGGCTTAGGGTTTAGGGTTTAGGGTTTAGGGTTTAGGTCGGGTATGGTTTGGGGTTCAGGCTTTGTGGCTTGAGATCTTCGTCTGTTTGGAGTCTAGCATTTAGGGTTTAGGGTTTAGGGCGGTTTGGGGTCTAGCATGTAGGCGTAAGGTCTCAGTCAGGGTGTATATGCCTTGGCATCTGTCGTGGCAGTTGCTTTCCGCAGCTGCGCCACATTCCTCGGTGCATCTGTTTTTCGGAGTGGAAGGTTTAGTGCCTAACGACGTACCATTATATAGTCTACTATAACAGTATACTATGATATAATATACTGAAACTTACTACACTATAGCACACTATACAGTCACTCATAAATTGTTGCGCCACAGCTTGGGGCTTGTTCAAAGGACTTCTGTTCCAACCCTCAAGAAAGCACAGCTTAGGGTTTAGGGTTTAGGGTCGTCACTAAAACCTAAACCCCGAACCTTACAGCTTTCCTTCCGGACACTTCCTGGAATGCCAAATCCTCCCCACACGAAACCTTGAAGTGTCCGACGCGCAGGCCAAAGGACGTTGGTTAAACCTTCAGGCTGCAAAATCCCTGGCCCTACAACCGAAATCCTAGATCCTAAACCCTAAACCCTAAACTTTAAATCTTGAACCCTAAACCCTAAACTTTAAATCCTGAACCCTAAGCCCTAAACCTAAGCCCAAAATCCTTCGCTCTAGACCTGAATCCTTGGCCGCAGGGCCTGCCGTAGCAACTCTGAACTCAACTATCACGAACCCTTTAGTGTTTAGGGTTTAGGGTTTATAGGGTTTAGGGCTTAGGGTGTAGGGGTTAGGGTTTGGGGGTTTAGGGTTTAGGGTTTAGGGTTGGACCTACCCATAGGCCCTTTTTGGGATTGCCTCATAGGGCTCTATATATGAACCCCCCCAAAAAGGAACTACTTTAAGGCCTATGGGTAGGGTTGGGGTTAGGTTTTAATTAACGCGGTAAAATCTAAACCCTCAACCCCTAAACCCTAAAAAATGCTAAACCCCAAACCCTAAAACCCTTTGGGGTTTAGGGTTTAGGATTCAGCCCTGAACCCTCGAAGCTCTCTCGGCGTTGGCGGAACAAATATACACACACACACCGCATGCATGCACACGATACACCTTTGTGTATATACATGTGAATACCTATATGTATAAATATATATATATATAGGCATACATACAGATATAGATATGACAAAGGTATCATATATATATATATATATAAGTACATCGATATATACATATACAAATACGACGACGAATAAAAGAACAAACTAAAGTAAAATACACATCAGTACATGTATATATATATATATGTATATATACACGTACAAATATGCATATACAAATAAATCTACATATACATAAAATATGCATATACATATACATATAAACACCCATATTTATATATATATATATATATATATTTATTTATTTATTTATTTATTTATTTATTTACTGATATGTACTAACATACTCTCGGGAACGGGCGGGCGCAGCAGCACCGGTGTCCACCAGCCGATTCAAAAAGTGGGTGGTGGGCACAGGGGTCCCGCTGGTACCGCCGTGCATTGTGTTTGCAGGGGCATTCCCAATACTGGAAACTCCCTCCGGCCTATGTGGATCTCCAGAGGCTTTCGGGTTTAGGGCTTTGTTCTGGGGGGACCCTATAGTGGAAAGCTTTTGCGGCCTGATATTTTTTGTGGAAGCAGTGATCCTGAAGACATTACCAGTACTAGAAGTAGTACTGTTACCCAGACTATTTTGGGGAGCGTGCCCTGGCAAAAGATTCTTGCGTATACTTTTATTTGTCTGCAGATCTCCCACACTCATCCGCATTCAACATTACTCTATGCTATACTGAACTTAGACCCCTAGCAACAATTATAATTTTAGCTGCTTCTTAGGGTTTATAGTAACCAAAGATTAAAAATAATTTCTAAGTACCCCTAAGTATGACTCTGTGACAGTCGCACTTTGAAACACCCATGTCCCAAGCCGAGGTGCGCATCGTAGCGCTTGTCCACGTAGGGGTCGAGGTGCTTTTTGATATCAACCTTGCACACACCAGGGTATATAAGCGCCCTGGTGATGACCCACACAGAAACACTCCTACAAATCCTAGACTATAAACCGACAACCACCGTTTGGATCGAGCGACTGCGGCGTCGTCGTGATTGTAATGCCGAACGGCCCTGGCGGCTGCTGATGCCCACTGATGCACTCCGCCCAGCCCGATGGCCAATGAACGCCGCCCGAAAGGCCCCGAATTTGCCATTGGCGAGGTCGATGGCGAGGAAAGCCCACCACGGGTGGCCCTGGCACCGAAAACACCCCTGCTATGGCGAGGTCGACGGCTGATGAAAGCCACACCCCGGCTGCCGCCGGCACCGAAAGCGCCCCTGCTGGCGAGGTCGAAGTCTGCATGAAGCCGGGTGCCGTAAACGCCGCAAAAGGCGAGGGCATGTGATTCCCCGCCGGGCTTTGCGTCATCATCACCGACGACGACGCTCGCGATGCAGGCGACCGCAGCCATCCCGGCTGCGTCACCACCGGCACCGCCACGGGTGCCGTGGGTAAGGGCGATGGCGGCGTGAACACCCTCCGCCACCCCACCGGCAGAAGAGGTCCCAGGACCCATTCTACCTCTTCATCTAAACCTAAACCCTGAACCCTAAACCCTAAACTCTGAACCCTAAACCCTAAACCTAAACCCTCAACCGTACACTACTCATAGGGATGGGCAGACCTCAAAATCCTTCACCCGACGATCAACATGTCAGGGACCTGAATATCAAGAATAGAGGAGACCCGTCATAGGAAGATCGTTAGCCAAAAAAACCCTGAAACCCTGCACCCTGAACCCAAAGCTATGTAGGATTAAGGGTTTAGGGTTGAATATAACGTGTGTTAGAGTTAGAACCCCTGGTATTGGATTCGGGATGCAGAGCGGGAAGTGCTGAACCTAACCTTCTACTGGTGAGAAGCCTCGACGAATACACAGACCCTGCAGACCCTAATCCAACATGGCTTTAGAGCTTTAGGGTTTAGGGTTTAGGGTTTAGGGTATAGGCTTTAGGCTTGAGGGTTCAGGGCACAAGGCCTTAAGACCCAGAGCCTAATCTAGGTTCCTCAATAGCAACTGAATGAGAAGGCTACCCTTTTTCCTAACATTCGGCTTGAATAAGCAGAGCCCAAAATAAAGGAGGCAAAAGTGGGAACCTCGAAACATTTGGGCTTCGGAGGCTGATCTCTGGGTCATGCAAACCGTTTCGACGCTCGACGATCAGACCCCGAGCCCTTTTCACCTCCAGAAACTCCCTCAACCCGGGAAGACTTGGCTTACGGCTCGGTTTAGGTTTTAGGGTTTAAAAGTTTAAAATCGCCTGCCCCGGTTGATATACAGGATAATTCGGCATTTGGGCACCCTAACATGAAACCCGTTATGGGTACCCTAAACCCTAAACTCCAAACCCCAAATTTTCCACACCTTAAGCCTAGGGCCTAAGGTCCTAAACGTAACATAGGGGCATTAATAATTAGAATGGGGTTTTGGGATCCTTTATAGTATAAATACAATTTAGGTAATTATTTAGGCTTCTATATTACGAGACCCTATTAACTGAAAACCCATTCAAAGCCTAACTTGATCTATCTATCTAGAAGCCCTAAACCCTCAACCCTCAACCCTAAACCCTCAACCCTAAACCGCAAACCCTAAACCCTATCTATCCAGATTGCTGAGCATCCGACATCCACGAAACTGTGGTCCGGGAGGTCGATGTGGTAGTCCGTGTCCACGGGGTCCTGCGGATTAGGGAGTTTAAGGTTTAGGGTTTAGGGTTGAGGGTTTAGGGGTTTAGGGCCTAAGGTTTAGGGTTTAGGGTTTAGGGTTGAAGGCTTTGGGTTTAGGGTTTAGGGGTTTAGGGCTTAGGGTGTAGGGTTGAGGGGTTGAGGTTCTGGGACTTTGGGTTTCGCGAAGCCTGGTAATATAGGGGCTTCAAGAATTCGAAGAGGGTCCTAAAAAATACTTGTACTAAGGAACCCGTCGAGAGCCAGAAAGCAAAAAAGGAAGGTCATCAGTACTGGGAACGATTTAGGGTTTAGGGTTTAGGGTTTAGGGCTGGAGTTTTGAAACTCCGCAAGGATGACTGCAGAGGTTCCGGGCATTGGTGGATGACACCGAAATACTCAAAGCTTCACCCCAAGATGCGGGAAGAGCTACGGATTTGGCTTGGGGCATTTATGATTAAGGGTCTCAACGTCTAGGACCTTGGGACACAACTTAGAGTTCAAACCTACATGCAGCGCCGAAACCTGAACCATGCAAAACCAGCAGAGAGCTCACGAAGAAGGATGACCCTCCACCCTTTATCCTAGCCCCCTAAACCCTAAACCCTAAACCCTAAACCCTAAACCCTAAACCCTAAACCCTAAATCCTAAACCCTAAATCCTAAACCCTAAACCCTTAAACCCCCTAAGTACACACCCGAGAGACCCCAAGGTCCAGGGAAAGCCTAGCCCCAAAATCAAGAATCCTCCCACCTGCCTGCCGTACTTAAAGGATCATGGGACTTAGTAAGTATAGGGTTTAAGGGTTCAAGGGTTTAAGGGCTTAAGGGTTTAGGGTTTAGGGTTTAGGGTTTAGGGTTTAGGGTTTAGGGGTTTGGGGTTTAGGTAAGGGATCATGGGACTTAGTAAGTAGGGTTATAATTAAGGTAACTATACTTATATCTACTTATAACCCCAATTAAGGGACTTATAACCTTACTTACTAAGTCCCATGATCCTCCAAGTAGTTTAGGATTCTTTTTTAAGTGCTGTGGGACTTTCTCTCTGCAGATCCAGCCACAGCCCTTCGGGCCAAGCACTCACTCAACACAAAACAATAGAAAAATCTCCCTCACTGTTCAGCCTGATTCACTTCACTAGTTTAGGGTTTAGGGTTTAGGGTTTAGAGTTTAGGGTTTGAGGTAGAAAAGCCTCACTGCCTCAGTACTCGCGCAACCACCCTGCTAGCCTCAGAAGCGTACCTAACTGTACACTCACCACCACCAGAGGACCGCATGTACTTACCCTCGCCAAAACACAGCTGCCCCCATACACCCCCAACACCCTCAGCTACTCGCGAACTCTCTTTCCCCCTGAACCCTACACCCTGCCCCATCCCTAACCCCCTAACCCAAACTCTAACCCCTATAAACTCTAAAACCCCTTCCATCCCTAATCGCCAAACTCTAAACCCCAAAGTAATCTAAGGTTGAGCCCGTGGGTTCCTAGTAAGGGCCCTTAACCCTGGGATCCTTATACACCTACTATATACCCTATATGTACCCTTAAGGGTCCCTAGAAAGGCCTAAGGGTTCATACTAGGGGCCCATACTTGAAACCTGAGAAGTAAACCTCTAGCACCCTGAAGCCCTCAAACCCTAAAGTCGTCCACGCCAAGACCTTCAACACCGGTTTAGGGTTTAGGGTTTTGGGGTTTTGGGTTTAGGATTCGGCTTTAGGGGTTTTGGGTTCAATGAATAGGGTTATCGGTTTAGGGTTTAGGTTTAGGGTTTAGGGTTTTGGGGTTTTGTGGTTTACGGCTTTGGGGTTGAGGGTTTCGGGTTGGGGTTTAGGGGTTTGGGGTTCAATGTTTAGGGTTACCGGTTTAGGTTTAGGGTTTAGGGTTCCTGTCCTTAAACCCTAAAGCCGTCCAAACCTGAACACCAGTGAATACGGGCCCGCAACACTATTCCTAATAGGGTTTAGGGTTTAGGGTTTAGGGTGTATATAGTCACCGCCCAAAGAGTCGCTTAGAACGCCCATTAACCAAAAACCCTAACAGCAGCTCAATAACAACCATGGTATACATTCACCCGACAAAACCCACCAAAAGACCTTCATGTGAACCCCAAACCCCAAGCCCTTAACCCCTAACCCCAAAATCCTAAACCGCTAAACCGCCACGCCTTCACTTCCTTCTCCTTCTTTTCCGATGCCAGCGGAAGACTCAGGGGCTCCTTCAGTACCCGCCAAAACGGGACGGGGGTTTAGGGCCTTAGGGTGGGGGGTTCAGGGTTTAGGACCCTGTAATGTAGGGGCCTTAATAAGTTTAATAGGGTTTTGTGGTATATTATACCATAATTATAATAAGAATCCCCCAGAATGGTACAGGTAATTATTAAGCATATTAAGACCCCTATAGCATTTTCTTCCGCTTGTAGCTGCTCTGATTTCGCTGACCGCTTGCTTCGTGGTGTCTCTGCATTCGTGCTCACTTGGAAGCTTGTTCATATCTTCCACAAGCTTGGTGTTCAGCAGGCCTCCGACAAACTGTAACTGCCAACACATCGTCCGAAGCTCAGGAGGAGTGCTCTCGGCAAGTCGACTGAAAATTCACTGGGCCACGGGAGAGTTCTGTCCTCTCAACAGTTGTTTTGCAGCAAGGTGCCCCAACAGCAGTCGCACTCACCACACATTGCTCGCTGTTCTTGCCAGCTGCTGCTCCGACGGCCACAATCAAAACACGGGCGATCAGCACGAAACTCAGATGTTGCCAACGGGTTTAGGGTTTACCCATAGGCCCCATAGTAGTTCCTTTTGGGGGGTTCATATTCAGAATCCTATAAGGTAATCCCAAAAAGGAACTACTATGGGGCCTATGGGTAGGGTTAAGGCGCCAGTCAGAAGGAAGGAGCGGATCACATTGGCCCTAAAAGAACCCAAGCCCTCAACGCAAACCACCAAATGCCCCCAAGTTTCTGGTGACTCCATGGTACCTAACTACCATTTTTAGGGTTAAGAGTGCGGAGTTTCGAGGTTACTGGTTTCGCGTTTACGTTTAAAGATTTTAAGGCTGCAGTTTGGGGAATGTAGGGTTTGCTAGTTCAGCGGTTTCGGTTTTTGGGCTTTTCGTCGTCCAACCACCATGCTAGGCTCCAGGGTTAAACCCCAAAAACATCGAATTAGGCAACAAACCATGCACCTGCCGCCCCACGATCCCACGAAGGCAGAGCAAAACCGAATGCCCTGAACCTGAACTCCAAGACCAAGTATATTCAGTGCGGCGTGAAAGCACAAGGCGTACATGTCGAATCTGAACAGGCACCCTTTAACTCTGAAGCCTAAGCCACGCTCTAAAGCCCTACAGCAAGCATCAAAAAGGCAGCCCCAAACTCCAACCGAGAAGAAAGGAACTGCATGCGGGTACGTGTAGATATGTCTGTATGACTGTAAAATTCCTGTTCGTCTGTTATACAGTATTCCGTAGCGTCATACCATGTCATCTTCTGTTAAACCATAGCAGCCATAGCATATGGCATTGCCCTTTTACAATATGACATCACATACTACCAACATGACCGTCTCTGGTGGTCTTATTGCTTTTATTCATGTGAGCGGCTGACTAAACCTACGGTTCGACGAAAAGCCCGCGAGAACTCAGGTCGGCCCCTATCGGTTATGCAGGGATCAGCTAGAATATACTCAGGGTGACCCCTATCGGTTATGCAGGGATCAACTAACCAAAGATAGGTCGGCCCCTATCG